TACTCATTGGACCACCTCCTCCAAACTCTTAACACCGTTGATGAATTAGTTTTAACTCTTCGAGAAATTTCACGTAAACCGTAACCCGCCTCTTTCTTGCCTACAATAAACTATGCATGCCATACATGTCATACAAAATGACTAAAAATTACAAATAAACTAAAGTTAAATAGACAGAAATATTTTTTGTATCTTTCTTGTTTTTGCGAAAACTTCAGTTAAAGAAAAGATAGCGAGGTTAAAAACTTTATCACATATATATTAAGACATAAAGAAATACTTTTGATCAAAATAAATAACCGTATACAATTTTTTTTTTTTTTTGATATCATAATACAAAACTAAAAACAAGTATCGTGTTAGGGCTTATCATAACGCAGAATGCTGGTCAGACGATTACATTTTGGTAGCTAAACTACAAAAATAATAGCACGCAAACCAAGAACGAAAATAGCGCCAAACTTCTTTTATAAGATAAGACTGTCAGCAAAGCTAGGAACTGTAGATGAAGTAGAAACAGTCGAATAAACGTATCAGTTAGTAAAAGAATACATACACCAAGCAGCAAGAAAGGCTTTGGAATATTTAGACAAAAGCAGAAAGGAAACTTTCGAATGGGTCACAGATGAGGTTAAAGAAACAGCAAATCGAAAGAAAAAAAACATGTATGACTTCGTTAAGATTCAGAAGACAGGAAAAGCTATGTATCACTGAACCAAAAAACTAGAAGAATAGTGTCACAAAACAAAAACGAACTCTGGAAGCGAGAATGTGAAAATATAGAGAGAGATATATAGATAACTAGAGAGAAACTTATTAAAATGTACGAAAAAAAGGAATGAAGCAGAAAATAGAGACCTATTCCCGAACAAAAAGTGGAAAATTCATTTTAAGCAACTGTTAATAGAAAACAGGAAAGAATGCATTGGAGAAATTGACGAAGTTAACAATAATAACGACGGGAAAGTACAGTTAATAAGTAAAAATCAAATTAAAAAAGCATCAGGAGCAATGTTGAACATAATATTGTTTCTGAAGCTATTTTCTTGTGACATTTTAAGTTAATTACTATTTAAATGGGAATATGCCACAAGTAACGGTTAAGTTTATTGAAGTTTCAATTTCCACTTTGGAAATCGTTCTAAAAATACAAACATTGATAAATTAAACAAATTTTATTTTTTTGTTACTTGGTGAAAAACTCTTCTAATAATTTAATTTTATCTGACTCATTTATATTGACAATTCAGACATACATTATACATTTTAAAGTAGACGACCTTAAAATGATATTGCGAATATTGTTGAATAAGAATATCCGTCAGAAAAAATCATAGCATGTAATTCGTCTTTAAAATGACAAAGACATGCCATGATGACAGTACAGTTCTCCTGTTAGTAATTCCATAGTAAATCATCAGGGAAAAATCAGGAAAAAACCTCATAATACTATCCCGACATGGCAAGTATCTGGTCGTGCATTTAGTTTATTTTCAATAAACACCAAATTCTCATTTTAAGTTTGTTATTTAAAAAACATAAATGATGTGTCCCCTATATGTTACTGACTTACTAATACTGGTATTTTCCTTTTATTAACTTTCTCTTTTAATATGGGTATAATGGCAACTTTTAATTTTCTGCAGAATGTAGCAGATCCTGCTACATTCTGCAGAGGTATTTGCGACACAACTGGTCTCATTTAGGATAATTAGAGCCGCTTCTTTGATTTTTCTCTTTTTACAATCCGTTTTTTTTTAGGACTATATTTCAATCATTCCATTGAACCCTATGTTCATTATTCTATGCGTGTTTACATATTTGAGATCTATCAGATTCTCTATTTTTAATACAAGATTAATGTTCACTTATTCTAACATTTAATGGCCTTGATGTTTCACCTAAATAAAACTGATCGCATTCACACGGTATTTTATAAATACAATTCTTTGTCCTTTGTTGTTCATTTTTAAATTTGGTTTTAGACAAAATAGATCTCAATATGTTTGTTGTTTTGAATGTTATTGAAATGCTGAATTTATTGCTTATTCTTTTAAGTGTCTCTGATAATCCTTTTATGTATGGTATTGTTATTTTCCTCATATTATTCCTTGTGTATACTGCAGGACCTCGTTCTAAGTTGTTCTGTTCTATTTAGTCGATTGTTGAAAATTCCTTATTTATAAACTATAAAGGATATTCACTTTTTAATAAAACATATATTAACAAATGTTTTTCCTCCAAGAACGAATTTTCGTAAGAACAAGCAATTTTGCCTCTATCGTATAAGGATTTAATGATTCCCTTTTTAATATCAATATTTGATTTGAAATTTAAATATCTGTTGTGTGTTGGTTTCCTATACACCTAAGGCTCATATCCAGTATGGTTCTTCAGAGATTGAAATATCCAGGAAAGGTAGTGTATTATTACATTTTTTTTCAATGTTATTGTGTCGCAAATTCCTCGGCAGAATGTAGCAGGATCTGGTAACCCATATTAAAAGGGGAAGTTATTAAAAGAAAAATACCAGTATTAGTAAGTAACATATAGAGGATACATCATTTATGTTTTTTAAATACCAAACATATAAAATCAGAATTTGGTGTTTATTCAAAGTAAACTTTGAATACGACCAAATACTTTCCATGTAGAGATAGTTGTAGATATGAGGTGTTTTTCTGGTTTTCCCTCATAATTTACTATGGAATCGTAAATCGTAAAGAAAGAAGTATGAAACGCGGTACTCGCCGAAAAGTTGCAGATAAAAGTCAATGGCAACGTAATATAAGAAAAAAATTACGAAAAAGTGGACCTGAGTATACAAACATTAAGGGTAATGTAGTTGCTGTCTTGAGAGTTTCAGATGATCGACTTACACGTGCTTTACGTAATAATGAGTAAGATGGTACACCTTCTAAGAATAAAAGGGAACAAAGGGCCCTCATAATAAAACAAGTCAGGAGAAACTTGACAATATTTTTCATTTTATTTCGAGGTGCCGAAAATATCAGTCATATTATTCTAAAAAAAAATCCCAATCTTTGTTATTTAGCTCCCACTTTAAATCTGTCAACTATGTATTCCTTATACAAACTAGAAACAACTCATCCTGCGTCACAATTTGTTTTTAGGGATGTTTTCAGTACAGAACAGAAACAGGATACAGATTGCCTGTATCTGACAGTTGTAGAAGATATGACGACTTTGGACGAATAAAAACAGAAACTTCTAAAGTTACTTTGGCATATTTAAAATTAGAAAAAGAATTGCATTTTTGAAAAGCAGAAAGCGCTACTGGGATGGCATTGGATTTAAAATTGGGTAAAATAGTTGAAAACAATGTCACCGTGTCAAATAGCGTTTGATATCATGTCTACATTACCTACACCTCATCTTTCAACTGGGATATGTTACTACAAAAGGCAGTTGTGGACATACTGCTTAGGTATCCACAACTTGTTAAGTAATCAGGCCCACATGTACGTTTGGCATGAAGCCATAGCATCTAGAGGACCTCAAGAGACTGGATCTTGTATACAGCATTATGTCAACAACTATGTTAACACAAAACCAGATATCAAAAGTGCAGCAAATTGACCATAAATTTTTGGTGTGGGGACATTCATTTGTAGCCTGTGACCGTGACTTTGGGATCATAGAGAAGAACAAGAAAACTTTTAATGATATTTATGTACCAGGAGATTGGACTAGAGTGATTAGGACAGACAAAAAACAAAAACCATTCACAGTACTAGAAATGAGCAGCAACGATTTCGTAAGCAGTGTTCCATTAGAAAAAACCATTACTAATCGTAAAAAGACTGTCGAGGGTGAATCGGTGAAATGGCTAAAAATTCAATGGTTGCGGTACTCTTTAACTGAACCACTACAATTGTATTATAAAGAATCTAACAATCCGGAGGTTAGTTTTAAACATATAGACATTACGAAGCGCAATACATCTACTTTTATTGGAAACCTTTCACTTTTATACCCAAAAGGCAGAGACATTGAAGCAGCTAAATTTAGCAATTTACAAGATTTGTTAGTGTATGTACCACCTTATTTACATATTTTTATAACAATCTAATTGTTTAAAATTTAGATCAACGTATACAAAATAATAATGCTGGAGAAGATAATGTGTTTACGCTATAGAAGATTCCGAACAAATGATGAAATAAATGTTTATAAAAAAAAATAATTAGAGGCATTGTTTTGACTTTTGTTTATTTTTTGTATACAAGTATGGTAAAAGTATATTTTATGCAAAAACGCACTTTATTTTTTTATTTATATAATGTTAGTGCAAGAGTGGCCTACAATCTTTTTCCAAAAAGGTTTTGAAAATTTTACTTTTTTGTGATAATAATGTAAAATAAAAGTTACTAACTTAATTTAAGGTGTTGAAATAGAAAACTAAGGTTTATAATTAAATAAAACTTAAATCGTCTTTTTCACAAAATCAGTTTTTACCAGTTAGGCCACTCTTGCACTATGCGCCTAAATGATTTCGCATAAAACCTTGGATATGAAATAAAAATAAAGAAGTGGTCGTAAAAAGGGAGAAAATATTTACTTGCGATGTGACTAGTTTAAATTAAAAAGAAGCTTTAATTAAAAATTGTAACAGTAAATGCTTGAATGAAAAGTAATTATATTAAAAAATCTTCAAGGCTGAAAAATTAACCATTCCAAAAACTAAGATAAACAAAAAGACGGCGTACTAAATTGTATAACAACCCGCCACCGAAATCTCCACAAAATCGAGTAAAGGAGGAACAACAGACTTGTTGCAGTTAACTCGGCGCACCAATAATAGCATTATCTCATTAAGGGAAGCAATGCGTCGGCGTTCCAAGCGTCACGGCGCCTGGAAGGCGTCCATCAAGCGCCAATGAAAACAAACGCAGGGTGGAGTCTCCTTTAATTTCAACTATTACATGCTATTCCGAAGGCACAGTTTGATTTTAACTGCGTTAACGAAAAGCCCGCAAATGGCAGGGCCGTATTTGCCCTCGTTGCCTGGAGATCTCTTGACTGAGTATATGTTCGGTAGAAGACGGCAAAGGAGAAATAGAACAACGTTTAGTCCACAGCAGTTGCAAGAGTTGGAAGCTCTGTTTCAGAAGACTCACTATCCAGACGTTTTCTTAAGAGAGGAAGTTGCACTGAGGATTAGCTTATCTGAAGCTAGGGTTCAGGTATGTACCTATTTATATTATTATGTAAAATTTAAAACAGTTATGATGACATTTCAAAATTTAACAAAATTTCTTGACCTAAAATTTGTAAATTAATTTTTGGAGTAAAACTTGTTGTTTTCGTTTTTCTATGACATTCATGAAATTTTAGATGTTTGTATTTCATTTTTTTAAACCAAAAAATTCAGGAAATTTATTCCAAAACACTGCTCCTGTTAATTTTATGTCAACATTACTGCTATAAATTGCTATGATTTGTATAATATTTTCAAAAATTAAGTATCAGTTTACTTGAACATTAACATGAGTATGATTTCAAACTCATTACTAAATGCATGGTTTAGTCACGTCGTTTGTGTAATAATATATTTGTGTGTTTACACATAAAATGTTTTAAGGTTCGAGATATTTGTCCTATGTAAACTTTTCAACCAGTTAATCTGTTTTTTTTTGGCACAAAAGTTTCGTGTTATTCTATTATATCTAATGTGTGATAGTATCAATGCTGGTATCTTATTTAGAAGTTTTTACTGAACAAAATAAATTATGTTTCCATTTTGATGTGGGAATACACAAACTTTTATATCTTGCATGTGTGTTTTCGATATAATATTTTTTTATGTTAGAAAATTATTTTAAAAATCGAAAAAATAACTAAATTTTTTGTTATCAGAAGTATATATTTTAGATAAATATTTAATTATTTGAGGTAATAGATGAATAATTTTTCTTAAATTGATGGAATATTTAATGTACGGTATGTTCTGTATATAGTCTTCTTCTTCTTCTAATGGCGCTACAATCCTTTCTGAGTCTTGGCCTGCTTACCAATGTTCTTCCATTCTGCCCTGTCGGATACTTTCCTTAGCTACTGCCTGATGTTCATGGTTTTAAGATCTTTCTCTACGTCGTCTATCCATCTTTTATGGGGCATTCCTCTTGTTCTGTTTCCTTGGGGTTTCCATCTCTGGACTTCTTTTACAGCTCAATTATCTGGCATTCTTACTAGGAGACCAAGCCAGTTTAGTCTTTGTGACTTTACAAATCTAACAAGATCTGCGCTCTGCATTAGTTCATCCAGCTCGTGGTTCATTTTAATTCTCCACGAACCATCGCTGCATTGGGTTCGTTCAAATATCTTCCTTAGTATTTTGCGCTTAAATATTCTCAGTTGATTTTTATCAGTGGTTGAGAGGGTCCACGTTTCACACATTCATATGTGACCACTGGTCTAATTACTGTTTTGTAAATTTTAAGCTTAGACTCACGATTCACGCTTAATAACCTATTGTTGCGGCCTATTGTGTCAACATTATCCGCATATACGCATAGTTGTATTGATCTTGTATTAATACAGCCGTTTATATCCAGTTTTCTAACAACAGCTTCTAAAGTTAGATTAAAAAGTGTTGTTGGTAAGGCATCTTACTTCATTTTAAATATCAAAGGCCTGCGTCATATCTCCAACTATTCTCACCATAGCTTTGGAACCCTCCACAGTCATTCGTATAACCAACTTATTTGGTATCACTAACATAGATAGTTGCTTTAACATCTTTTATCGATCTATGCCATCAAACGCCTGTTTAAAACCGATATACAAGTTGTAAATAGTTATGTTATATTTAACACATTTTTCATATATACCTTTTAACATATGTATTTGGTGTATAGTTGACCTCTTTGGTCTGAAGCCACATTGGTATTCACCAACCATCTCTTCCGAAAACGATTCCAAGCGGCTGTATATAATTCCTGATAATATCTTGTAGACGACATTTAAAACTGTTATGCCCCTATAATTTTTACAGAGTCGTTTGTCTTCCCCTTTGTACATAGGAAGTATGATTCCTACTTTCCAATCTTCTGGGATGACTTCTAGTTTCCATACGTGGTCAATTAGTTTATGGACACGCCTCCATAGCGCATGTCCATCATTCTTTATGAGTTTTGCAGTTATTCCATCTGTGTCAATACTCCTTCCGCCTTTTAATTATTTCCTCTTTCTCGCTGATAATTGCCCCATTTTTGTCCTTGCAAACTGTTGACTTTGTCGTGTATCCTTGGGTGTATTGCTTGGATTCCTTGTAAAATTTTTTAGTCTCTCTTCTGTTATTATAATCAGTAATTTTTTGTATTTTTCTATTTAACATTTCTCTCTTTTTCCTTCTACATATTTTCTTTGCATCTTCTCTGAGTTTTTCATATGCCCTTCTATTCAATCGCGAATTCCTTTGTAGACATTTCTGCCTGGCTATATTTTTGCTATTTATTACTTGTTGGCAATCTTGGTCAAACCATTCCTCGTTTATTTTGCTTGAAACCTAATGTTTCCTTTGCTATATTTGTAATTGTCGTTTGGATGACATTTTATTCTTTTTAAATGTTGTTTTGTTCTCCTCTTTCATTTAAATCACTTTATTTTTCTCTGGTACTAATTCTTATTTTTAGGATTTTTAAACATATAAGTGTTCTATTCTCTTTGTTTGGCGCCTTTCTCTTTTCTTACCATTGATATTCTTTGTTTTATCTTCGATGTAACCAAGTATATAACCAAGTTCTGTATATGGTGTTTAGGAAATTTTTTGTGTGGGTGCCCATGCCGTAAGTAAGCGCCCCCCTAGTTAGGTCGTTGATTTTGTCTTCTTCCTCTTCGGCTTTTCCCCATTACGCGTTCGTCGTTTTCATCCTTTACAGAACTCTATTTTTCCAGTAATTTTCTTCAAAGTCTTTCATCGTCTTTCACGTTTTCAATTTGGTAGCAAGTCTTCCTCTCCGTTTTTTTTCCCGGCGGGTCCGAATCCAATATTCTTTTTGGCTTCTTGTGCTCTCACATTTTTTATACAGGCCCCTACCACTGCAGGGCTTTTTTTGTCAACTTTTTTCTTTTTTTTATTGAACATTCTTCTTTCACTTCGTTTCATATTACCCATTGGTTCGTATTTTCTATACCATCTTTTCGAAGTCATATATATATATATATATATATATATATATATATATATATATATATATAATATGAATATATTGATCCTTGTAGTCAATACTGGCCTTTAAATAAAACTCTTCAAAATTTGTTGAGCTTTCGAGTTTATTAACTCTTTTTCAAAACATACTAAAAATTAAAATAAAAAACTATATTAGAACAATGGAGTTGTTGTATCTTTAACAGGCTTACCCTTGTGAGGATTGTATTATAAAAATTAGCAAAAATACCTAACATTTGACATTATTAATTTGATTTTTTTTCCTTTCTGTCAAAATTTATTACTATAGTTTTTATTTCTCTTCTATTTTTTATATTTAATTTAGGTTAGTTTGACAGAGGAAGTGTCTATGTTTATGCAAACCTTCATTGCAAATTTTGATAATGTTTCGTTTCCATTAAACAACCAGAGTTTATGCAATTAAGAAAGAAAAAACCAAACACAAATAAATATAAATATTATCCTATTTGAACTTTTAAAGAACTACGTTCAACTTTTAAAGAACTTTTATATCGTTGTTCTTTTCTTTAAAATAAGATTATTGTATATAGCACTAAGATTTTTAATGTGTTCTCTTTTGTTTAATGTGTTTTTTGTAGTCTTAATTAAACACATTTCTCGAAACAGTCTTTTGTTGTAATTTCTTTCCCATCTCAATATTTCTGCTTGGTCATAGTTACGCGTGTGGCCCATCGTAATAGAATGTTCACTTAATGCACAGGCTTGTACTTTATTCAGATTACTGTCACTTTTGTGTAATGTTAATCTTACGGACAGATTTCTGGATGTTTCCCCAATATATATTCTATTACAATTATTATAAGGGCAGAGAGCACACTACATTTGAGCTTTCTTTATTATTTAAGGATGTTTTAAGTTTGGTGTATAATTTCGATATTGTTTTTATATTTCTGGTTACAATTTGATATTAGGTACATCTCTAAATGTATTTAGTAGTCTATTTGTTAAACCTAGAATATATGGTAAAGAATGGTACAATGTATTTTGGTTGTTTTTTTAAACTTCTGTTTGATTTGTTCTTATGACTTATGAGACACCAAAAATAAGTCTATTTAGAAGGTTTGCTGGTAAAGAATTCTCTAACAGCATCGTTTTTAGTTTTTTTAAGACCGGCTGTTTTATATTCAGGATGTGATAAAGTTATAATTTTACTTTTCATATTTAATAGTAAGTTGATCTTCATCTTAGATGGATGTGCTGAAAAATAATTAAAAAATATTGGTTTTCTATACCATTCTTTTTTTAAAACGTTGTTTGAATCAATCCTTTCCAAGAATATATATATATATATATATATATATATATATATATATATATATATACATAATGTCTATACACCCCAGCGTGGGGTTAAATCGCGAATGCATTCTAGATCCCATTTTTTGGATGAATCAGTCCCATTTGTTTATGTTATTTTCTTAACGATATCTTCCTGCATCTAGTTTTTCCTCTCCATTCTCTAACTCATGCCCTTCAGAGGTATTTTTCAACTTCTTGCAGACACGTTGATCTTGGTCTTCCCCTTTTCTTTCTTCCTCCTGGATTCCATTTTATCATTGCGTATGTTACTACTTCATCTTCTGCTCGCCAAATGTGACCATCTAACCATAATAAAGCATTGTTTTATTTTAGTCACGATGTCTTCCTTAATTTCTTCTGCTGTTTGTTTGCATTTGTTTTGCATCTATATTCATTGTGCTCTGTTCAGTTTGGTCCCAGTAATTCCCAGAGAACCCAGTGGTTCTCATAATCTTTATCTCTGATATTTTTAAGTCTTCTTCATCTTTTTTGACGATCGTCATTGTTTCTCCCGCATATAATAATATTGGTCTAATTATGATGTTATAAATGTTCATCTTAAATTTCTTAGTCAGGAGGAATATTTTTCTTTTATTTCGGACTTTCTCCGGTTTTGCGTATTGTAACTCCTAGGTATTTGAATTATTTTACTTATTCAAACTCAGAACTTCCTATTTTGATTTTTTCTTTCATTTGCTGTTTCCCTAATCTTAAGATTTTTGTCTTTTCTTGATTTAATCTTAGTCCCATTACCTCCCCTTTCTCTTTTATTTTTTCTAGTATTTCTTTCACTATTTTCCTGTTCTTTGCCATAATAGCAATATCGTCTGCATATATGATTATTTGACCATAATCTTATTATAAGATTTCCATTATTTACATTTCGTAGTACATATTCTAAGGCTAGATTAAATAGCGTTGTTGATAATGCATCTCCTTGTTTCATCCTTTTATACTGAATTACTGAATTCCTGTCTCTCCTCTTTGTATCTTAATGCTACTTTTTTTAGAGTTTATGTGGAATTTTTAATTTTTTAAGTGTTATCATTAATCCTTACCTTTTAATTAAGTCAAATTTTACCATTATTTGTTTTATTGTGTATATTGCATCTATTGTAGATCTTCGTTCTGTGAATCCACATTGGTACTGTCCCACTGTCTCCTTTGTGATCTTTAAATACTTCCTTTTTATTATTAATGTCAATATTTTATATGATGTATTTAATAACGTTATTCCTCTATAAGTTTCACACATTTTACCTACCCTACCTCCCAGTCCTCTTAGAGTTCACTTATAATTTTGATTAATAATTCTACCCTTTAAAAAGTTATGTTAAATAATACAAACCTTATAACTAGCGCTCTCTATGAGAGTCAGATATAAAAACAAATTTATGGGATACATCAGCTTCCAAAACATATTCGTGGAAAATTTCATTAAAATGTTCATCAAATGTTCATCAATTCAGTAGTTTCATCAGCAAAATCGTAAAAAATGTCTAACATTTTTTTAATGCCCTTTATTGTGTCTCCTTGTCTTACCCCTCGGTTGATTTTTACTGGTCTTGTTTCGATTCCATTACCCAATGTAATTATCATTTCAGCTTTTTCGTAAATAATATGCATTAATATTCTGTATCTGGAGTCGATCCGGTTGTTGACTAATGCTTCTTCTATTGCCCACAGTTCTACGCTATCAAAAGCTTTTTCATAATATATAAAAGCCAGAAATAATGAGAGATTGTATTCGTTAGTGTTTTCTATTAGGATTTTTAAAGTATATAGATGGTTACAGGTACTGTACCCCTTTCTAAATCCGGCTTCTTTTACTGGTTGATATCTGTCAAATTTAATTGTTAACCTGTTTGTAATAATCTTTGTAAAGGTTTTGTAAAGTTGTGAAAGAACTGAAATCGGTCGATAATTTTTCAGGTCTGTGGTGTCTCTCTTTTTGTGTATTAGTATTGTTTTAGCAGTAGTCCATTGTTCGGGTATGTTGCCTTTGAATAGACATTTATTAAATAGTATTTATAGATATGTGATGGCTTCTTTTCTACCTTCCATCAGCATTTCTACTAGGATTTCATCGCTTCCAGGAGCTTTATTCCTTTTTCTTTCTTTTACTGCTCTCTTTATTTCTTTATGGCTTATTTCAGGCATCACTTCTGAGTTGACATTTGTTATCTGCCTTTTCAAGTTCCGCTTTGAGGAGTTAGGGGATGGTTTCTGGAACGCTATAGATCGGCGTAGAACTTTTCAATTGAATTTGCAATATTAGATTTACTTTTTTCTAGTTGTTCTAGTTCATTTTTAATAGTTATTATGTTTTTCTTTCCTAGTTTCGGTTTGGTGCATTTGAACTTTGGTTTTTCTAGATGATTTATGCTATACGATCTTCTTGATGTTTTTTAAAGTTCTCTTTTATCTGTTTTCTGATTACTTGATTAAGTTCCTTAAATTCTGCAGTGTCTCTTTTGTTTTGTCTCAGAAGATCTTTTCTTTGTTTTGGCACGTTTTGTGATTCTACACTTATTTTGGATTTGCTTTTCTGTTATCAGTTGCCACTTCTGAGGCATTTAATAGTTCTTTTGTTATGATCTAATTGATTTCATTTAAGCTAAGGTTATCTAGATTTAATACTTTCGAGGGTTTTAACTTGCTTTGATATTATTCTGTATTAGATTTTAGTTTATCTGTGTCTATATTCCAAGTTTTTCTAAATTTATTTCTATTTTTATTATGTTTTATGTATGGAACAATCCTCCAGTATACGCCTTCTGAAATCTCCTAAAATTTGTGCTTGTATGTTAATACGTGTTCCCCAAAAAGTTCATCACTGTTTAGTTATTTCACGTTAAAATATTTGATTTGTAATTTGACAAATACAAACCTACTTTTCATGGGCACGTACATACAATTTTAAAACGATTCAAAGATTTTTTATTGAGAATAACTGTCAAGACTGTATAATTCAACTAGCTAAATGTATAGCATATTTATCAAAATATACGTTGGTTTAATTGTTTACGAAAATTTAAGTACGATCATTTCTGTAGGTGTGGTTTCAAAACCGGAGAGCCAAATGGAGAAAACAAGCGAGACTTCAACTTCTTCAGGACGCTTGGAGAATGCGATGCCTGGGAATAACTTCACCACAGTTAATACTATCAGGTAACTGATCATTTATGTCTAATGAAACCAATATAAATTCAAGATTAATTCAATCCGGAAACTGTTAAAAAACTCATAAAAATAATATTAACAAGATAATATAACGTGTAAAATATTATGTTTATCAATCGTCAGTGCATTATTGACAGTTTAGATTATTATTTCGTCTCGACCTGGGAAGTCTTAAGTACTATTATACCCTAGATTAACAATAATCTAATATTTTATTGTTCAAACTGCCAAGGTAAGAGTTGACAGCCAGTACACCGAAAATATCAAACTACAGAGAGGAGTCCGCCAGGGTTCCGTGCTGTCCCCACTACTTTTCAATGTCTACAGTGAAGCGGTATTTCAAGAAGCGCTCTCAGACTCAATAGAAGGTATATCTATCAATGGAGAAGTTTTGAATAACTTACTTTTTACAGACGATACAATAATAATTACGGATAACAACATTGCTAGATAGACTGAAGATAAATTTAAAGAAAACTAAATGTATGATCATGACTAAATCTGCACATGCAAATATCCAATTGACCTTTGAAGATACTGCAATTGAGAGTGTTAATAACTATAAATACTTAGGAATATGGATAACATCAGATGTAGACCAAACCAAAGAAATTAAGACACGTATTGAAATAGCACGTACATAATTTATTAAACTTAAAAAGATTCTTTGTTGTCGGGATATAAGGTTCGAACTACGCCTGAGAATGTTTCGATGTTACGTGTTCTCTACTCTTCTTTATGGTTTGGAAGCTTGGACACTAAAACAAGTTCATCTGAATAAGTTGGCCGCCTTTGAATTTTGGTGTTACAGAAGAATTCTACGAATATCATGGATTCAAAGAATGTCAAACATGGAAGTAACTAGAAGGATAGGAAATGAGGCGGAAATAATATTAACTAGTAAAAGACGAAAACTTGAGTACTTGGGACATGAATGAGAGGGCAAAAATACGCATTATTACAACTTATTATGCAGGGCACAATCCGAGGAAAGCGAAATGTGGGAAGACGAAGAATATCCTGGCTTAAGAACTTAAAAGAATGGTTTGAATGCAGTAGTGCAGAACTTTTTAGAGCGGCAGTCAACAGAGTCCGCATAGCCATGATGATTTCCAACCTTCGATAGAAGATGGAATTTAAAGAAGAAGAAGAATATTTTATGTCTATGCTATGGTTTGTTTTTTAACCAGGAGGAGTAATTCAAATTTACTACGCCGTAATGCTTGTTTGTAATTGGTCCAATCACAGGCAACTTTACTCTACACTAAATTATGACATTTTGACACTAATGACATTTATGAAATTTTAAAATCCAAAATTTAAATCGACGATTTTTTGTATTTTCTGCATTATTCCTTAAATTTTTAGATTTTTTGTTTGCATTTATATAAAATACAGTTCTTTTTAGAATTATTTAGCGGCGTATTAGTGCTATTAAGGTAACAATATGGATTCAATGCCTAGTACTAGTTGTAATTATCATTCTGCATCTAAAAAACGCCGAGTAGATTTGGGTCATTTACCATCAAATCAACAACAATGCATTATAAACATGTACAAACAAATAAAAATTGATAAACCTGGAATAAAAATAACAGCCATGGTAGGAAAAATAACACAGGCAACGTGTTAGTTTTGCAGAATAGTTATTGTTAAAATCAAGACTAACTAAAGTATTGTGCTAATTATGTAGGGCCAGAATAATGAACATAAGTCTATTCCTGTAATTACTATTTAAATGGGAATAAGTCACAATTAAAGGTTAAAGTACGTTTATTGACGTTTCAATTTCCACTTCGGGAATCGTTATCAAAATACAAACATTGGTAAATGAAACAAATAAAATAACAAAATAGCTTTCAAGTCATTCCATTCAAGTCATGGCATTCCAGATCATATATTGGAGATATCAATGTTTTTAAAAATGTACAATATATACATTATATTAATATCTGAAAGCCATGCCACACAAAGAACGGTTATTATGATACCTTACTATATTGTGTATTATGCAACCCTTCCAGACGGAGGAGCACATGCAGGTTCTGCCGTTATTATTAAATCAAAAATTAAGCACTATGAAGTCCAACCTTGTATTACAGAAAAAATTTCAGCAGCAATCACTAAAATCAAAAGAAACACCTTCCTCAGTGTACCTTTAGTTTACAGCCCACCTAGACATCCAATTTAAAGCAAAGAGTATCATGATTTCATACAAACTCTTGGATCCAAATTCATAGTAGCAGGAGACTGGAATGCCAAACACACCACATGGGTTTCAGATTAATCACGCCTAAAGGTTAAGCATTAATGAATATCATCTAACAAAATAACTTAAGATACTTATCTACGGGAGAACCTACATACTGGCCTACGGATGCCAACAAAATTTCATATTTGGTAGATTTTGCTGTAACAGAAGGGATATCTGACATTCATAGTGCAAACATAGAGTCAAACTTTAATTTAACATCAGATCACAGTACAATAATAATAACTTTAAGTACACACATAATACGGAGAAAACCACCAGCCAAACTCACAACTAAAGAAACAAACTGGGATGTTTTTCCAAAATTATGTAAATACAAAAATTAGACCAGATATTAGAATAAAAAAAAACCAAGATGTAGAGAAAGCTGTAGACTATTAAACAACAGTTTTACAAACAACAGGATGGGAAGTTAAACCACAGCGCCAAAGAAGTGTGCAAGAAAACCTTCATATCCTCCTTCATATAAGAGAACTGGTAGCAGAAAAAAGAAGAGCTCGATGCATATGGCAACAAACGAGAAATCCACTAAATAAAACGTACCTTAACAGGATAAGTTATAGACTGAATAAAACATTACATGAAGAAAAAAACAACTCTTTCCAGTTTTAGGATTCGAACCTCTCACATGAAGACCACTTTATTTGGAATGCTACAAAAAAGTTTAAACGACCGACAATAACAAATTCACCTTTAAGAAAAACAGATATGACCTGGGCCCGCACAAACGTAGAAAACCCAACAGTATTTGCAGAGCATCTTGCAACTGTATTCGCAGGACCAGATACTAATAACGATGACAATGATGATATAAGAACGTTCCTCGAAACTCTCCATATCTCATGTCAACTATCTCCTCCTCTGACAACATTTACTCCAACAGAGGTTCGACAACAAATAAAAATGCTAAATCCTAAGAAAGCTCCTTGCTATGATTTGTTAACAGGGGTATTACTTCAGAAGCTACCGAGAAAAGCAGTGGTGCTGTTAACAATAACATACATCAGCATACTACGTCTTCGATACTTTCCAATATACTGGAAATTTGCTCCAGTTACTATGATTTCGAAACCTGGTAAGCCCGCAACGCAAGCAAATTCATATCGCCCTATTAGCCTACTCCCAATAATGTCAAAAGTAATAGAAAGGCTACTATTACATAAAATCGAGCAAGTTGTTCCCATAAACGAAATTATACCATAACACCAATTCGGATTTAGACGTGAACACTCAACCATCCAACAATGCCACTAAATATAATTAAAACAATTCTCGAAGAGAAAAAGTTTTGCTCTAAAGTGTTTCTAGATATACAACAGGCATTTGATAGAGTATGGCATGAAGGTCTCCTGTACAAACTGAAATTACACCTAACAGACCAACTGATACTTTATACTAAAATCATATCTTACTGACCGTTACTTCCAAGTCAAAATTGAAGACATCTACTCAAATTACCACATCATACAATCTGGCATACCTCAGGCGTTTTGGGCCCAATTCTGTATCTGATATTTACAGCAGACGTTCCAATCAGCAATGATACCTTCTTCACTTCATTTGTCGATGACACGGGAATCTTGGCAGTGGATATCGACCCTAATGTAGCATCACAAAAAGTACAAAATCATTTTGATCAATTACAAAACTGACTTAAGCGATAGAAGATCAGTGTTAAAGCTAGCAAATCAAAACAAATTACTTCTACAACAAGAAAATCCACATGTCCACAAGTTTATATTAATAATACTCCCATTCCTATAAAACCAGTTGTCAAATACTTGAGATTGCACCTGGATGAAAAACTTACATGGACAACGCACATTAAAACTAAACGGAAACAACTAGATCTTAAACCAAAAAATATGAACTGGCTTTTTAAGAAAAGGTCTCAGTTATCTTTTGAAAATAAACTGCTTCTGTACAAAGCTATACTTATACCAGTTTGGGCATATAGAATAGGACTATGAGGCTTCAGATACGAAGATACTTCAAACATTCCAATCCAAAATACTCCGTATGATAAGTAAAGCTCCATGGTATGTATCTAACCAAACACTTCAAAATGACCTGGACATCCCATTACTTAGGGACATAATAAAGAATCACTCAATAAAATACAAAAATCGCAACACTGATCACAACAACGAACTGATAAATAATTTATTTACCCAACCACTTTCCGAAAGAAGATTGAAGAGGTTATGGTCAGAAGACCTACCGCAATAATACTTGTCACTGGACGATACCTAACTCACGTTAATATACTTACAAACTATTTACTTATTACTCCGTGTATAAATTAGATTGTAAACATGCAATGTAACAATAAAAAAAAATATTAATTAGTCATTGTTTAGTATACAAGTTTATCAAAACTTTTCTAATTTCTTATTTAAAAGAAAATGATTCCAAATTGTAACTGCCAATGTGATTCGTTTAAATCAAAACACCCAAAACTGGCTATTCGCCAAATCAATTCGAGACAGGTTTTTCACCCGCCTTATCAGTAAACTAGTTTTAAGTTCTTACATTTTTATTGGTGAACCAAAATATTTTGGGGACAACTGTTCATTACTAGTCATACCACTAACGAATAGCTGCTGATTGTATTGTTTTTTTTTTAGGTGTGTGAGTAAAACTGAAATATTATTTGACAAAACGGTAAACCAATAAAAAACGAACGTGCCTTCAAGACCTTTAATTTATTTATAAT